AATTGCTCAAATAAAAAGTTTGATCGCGGAACTTGAACAAAAGCAAACTACTAGTTTAACAAAGGAAATTAAATTGCTGAAAAAAGAAAAGGAATAGTTTTAAGGGTTGGTGATATGTATGAAAACCAAGTATAAAAGAAAAATTTTCTTCATTAGAAAAAGAAAATTGAGGCCAATGTTCACATACACGTCGAATTGCAAGGGCACATGACATGGCATGAGAATTAAGAAGAGTTACTAATGGTATCGTGGAGGTAATTAGGTGACACAAGTAGGTTACATGGATTATCTTATTGGCGAGCTAAACTAGTCCATGTCATTAGTGCTTATCCAAGCTTAGCGTGATCCTATGATGTACTAAACTTTTGTTTTGCACATCACTAATTGTATTCATATAGAATCGGATAGTATGTTGCTATGAATAAATAAAAGTCATTATATTTCATTGTAAATTCCTATAAGTATTGCATTCTTGTTTAGAACTTATGATGATTGGCCTAGCTTTTATAAATTTTTATAGGTATTGCATCCTAGATTAGAATTTATAAGAGAGTTCTTGGTGAGAAAGATGTTGAATTCTCTATACAAATGTCCTTTATGAAGGTAGTCAACTTTGGATATAACTCGTCAAACCCTTAGCATGTCAAAAACTCGTTATGGCATATCAAAGGCATCATCATCAACAATCTCACACCCAATCACGAGTAATTAATGATATTGTTACTTATCTTTTCTTCTTTATATAGAAATATAGGTTGCACCATTAAAAAAAATATGTACTAAATCTTTATAACACCAGTGCTAAAAAAAATGAGGAAAAAAATCAATTAGAATAGAAACACGCTAAAGAGGTTGAAGCTTTCAAAGGAGATGTAGCTTGACTAACTAGTTTGATAAAGTAACTACTTTAAGTAAAGTTAGTAAATAAAGGAACATAAAAAATGGTGAAATCTCCTGTACTACTTGCTATCGAGGAATAGGTCACCTTTCCTACATCAACCATGGGGTCATCACCACCCTAGTGGCTGGTCATTCTTCAATCATACTTGCACTTTAAGAAGTATCCACCCATTTTTAACTGCTAGGATAGGGATATATATTTATCGTTTCTAAACCATCATATCTCGATGCATCATATTTGTTTATGGTACTTGTAAAAGGAGTCGATAGAGCGGCTAACCCTTACAATTGATGTTATAGTTAAGGAGTCGAAAAAGATAAAATTATAAAAAAAGATGAGACCGATAAATTTTTCTTTATCGAGGAGTGTCTAAAGGTTATTACTTATAAGATTAGGTCAAGGATGTAGAGATAGGCTTAGTAACGTATGTCATAATCCTAAAAAATTCAAGGTGCCAAATTTATAAAGTACATACGTACTTAATATCCAAAAACTCATATTCGAATCTATTATGGTAAGATGACAAAGATTATACATGATGAGAAACTTTTTATCCATTTATTTCATAAGACTTTAGATGGTGCTTCCAATGAACTAGTACATGCACCTACATAGGGCTATAATTTGAAGATGGAAAGACTTAGTTAACATCTTCATTCATCAATACAAGTTTAACCTAGATATGGCCCTAGACATAACCACATTATAGAATATGAAAAATATAAGAAATGAGTCTATTAAGGAGTATGCTTAGAGATGACATGAGGTAGTTGTGTAAATCCATCCATCACCGACGAGAGAATGAGTTGATTTCAATGTTCTTCAAACACTTTCGCAGCATTGTACTTTAAAAACGTCATCGATAACCCATATCTAAATTTTACGAGATGCGGTAGTCATTGCTAAAAGAGCAAAACAAGCCTTCAAGTCTAGAAATTACCGATCCCACATAAGTAAGCTCTAAAAAAAGAAATTTTAGGAAGAAAAAAGCAACGAGGTACACTAACTTGAAACCACTACATTCCAATCACAAGGAAGGTGGAACAATCAATAGCATCCCGATAACTCCTATGCTCGACTAGGGAATAAAACCCCCACAAAAAACCTTTCAACTATCTCCATTGTGTTTCACTCACTCGTCGAATTACCAAAATCCCATGCCAAATAACCAAACACATATATAACCTCATTTCAATAATCCATAAAGACCATCTTAGTAAAATAACTACAAATGATACCAAGACATCTTACCCTCATTTCCTGTTTCATTGAGCTAGTTGTTTAAACACATCATGGTCATTGAGCAAGTTTTCCTTATTCCTATGGATCCAATATAATAGCTATACCCATATTGTTATAAGCTCGATGAGAAATGTAATACTATTTGGGTGAAGTAAGGCACAATATTGAAACATGTTTAGTTTTCAAAAAATATGTCAAGTTTCTAATCAAATAGAGTTAGATATCTCTAAAAAGAAGCTTTAGTGCTCTCAACACTAGCACTAACCCATTACCAAATTATATGGTGGTTAATAACGAGATAATGAATATGCTATCAATAGACATTGAGCATGATAAAAAGGGATCCACTATGAGGGTGACCATGAGTTAGCTCTTTGATATATGATTAATACAATTTATGTTCAAAGATACAAGGAGGAATATAGTGGCATAGGTGTTGGGCATTATTATAAATTCCATCAATCGTATGGGCATGATATCTAAGTTGTGATGAGTTTTACTAAGAAGTGGAGACCATGTTAATTTTAAGGGTATTAATAATAATAAAAAAAAGAGATGAACAATCGGAGATCAATATGGTTAATGAAGAAACTTTCAAAATCAAGTAGATGGAAGCATACACCTATCAATTCAAAGAGAATGGGCCACTAAGGTTGGTATTGAAAGTTCCAACTCCATCTAATCATTAAGTCCTTTCTTATAATTATGGACATCCTTTCCATAAAGAGGAATCCGAGTTCGGTTATGCAATCCTATATAAGAGGCCTAACTAGAAGTGGTAAATGTATTACACTAAACCGGACTCGATAAATAAGCACCTAAGGCCAAGAAGATCAAATGGTGAATAAGCCGATGAATGAAGAAAAGATTATGGAGTTTTTAAGGCCGATGAAGCATAGTGATTATAGTGTGGTGGATCGGATGAAGAAAACTCATGTTTGAATTTCCTCATTGTCTTTAATTTTTTGCTCAAAGTCTCATAGGAAAGCACTTTGGAAGGTTTTAAATGAAGCTTATGTACCATAAGACATCTCTTCTAAGTCGATAGAGTATCTAATGGGAAGAATTGAAACAAACAACTACTTCTACTTCTCAAAAGATGAGTTGGTCCAAAATAAACTAGTCACAATAAAGCATTGCATATCACTATAAAATATAAGGATCATACTATTACCAAAGTATGGTCGACAATAGTTCTACTCTCAATGTGCTACCACAACATGTCTTGAATCATCTCCTCATAGATGCATCGCACATGAAGCCTAGCCATATGATGGCTTGCCTACGATGGTACACTTAGATAGGTGATTGGAAAGATTGATATCGACCTAGACATTAGACCTTATCAATTTGAAGTTACGATCTAGGCGATTGACATATAACCAACTCATAAGCATGTTACGAGGCAATCCGTGGTTGCATTCGGTAAGTGTTGTTGCCTTATCATTGCACAAAAGGCTAAGATGTGTGGCAAAAGGTCATTTTGTAATGGTGAAAGTAGAAGAAACCTTGGCTATGGTAAATAATGTTTCAGTACCTTACATAGAGATTGAAGGGACTCATGATGGAGACCTTCTTGCTTTTGAGGTAGTCAACACGGACTTGGACCCTCGAGAATTCCGTCAAAAGAGCCTTTGAGCTACCGAGTAGTTGCCATAATGGTCGTAAAATACCTAGTTTAGTACAAAGGCTATCTAATGTTTAAGTCAATACTTGAGATATCCATAGATAGAAATACAAAACTTAAATAGACCAAGCAAAGGTTTAGGTTGGATTTCAAGCTTAAATGGAAAGATTTCCGAGGATGAAAGAGGAAAAAAAGAAGAAGAAAATAGCCAAAATTGAGGAGCATGAACCAAAGGATCCTAAGATTAAAATCCCACACATAAAAAAAAGGATCAAAACATTTTCTCTAAAATTTTGAAGGACCAAAAAGCTTAATAATAAAAGACCAAAATGTGAAAAAAATAATTTTAAGGACCAGTAATTTCATTTTCTCTAAAAACTTTAATAACCAAAAAGCTTATAAATAAAAGATCAAAATGTGAAAAAAATAATTTTAAGGACCAATAATTTTTTTTAAAAAAATATAAGAACTAAAATGAAGTATTTTGACAAATTATTTTTAATAGGTATTAAATAGGTACTATATAGGTAAGTAAACTGGATGTAGATAAGGTGTGTGTCGGGTAAAGACTATATAGTAATCTTTGAATTGATAATGGAAATGATATTTTTTTAATGAGTAGGATAAAATATTAAATTAATAAGCTAGGTACCCAATCATTGCCATCCTCGACCGAGCATTAAAAAAAAAAAAAAGATTTTCAGTTTATTTTTATGATACAAACAAATATTAGAAAATAATTCATTTTTTCAAAAATTATTTTTTGTAAAATTCTCTTTCGAGCAAACAATTGGAGTGTTTGCCTAATCAACTTTCCTTAGAGCTATTTTTGCCCAGTTAATGATAACTATTTTAGTATTTTCGGTAAAAATAATAATAATGGATATTGGGTAAACAAAATTTAGACTAATCGAATTATCTGATCAACTCATTGGGCAAAAAAAAAAAAAAAAAAATCCCAGGTAATTTAGGTACCCTCGAATCGACAATTTCTCATCCGAATTACCTAAAAGTTCATTGATCATCTTCGCATGAAGTTATAGAAAGTTGTGACTGAATCAGGAGCGTGCAACATTGTTAAATAGAGAGATGACTGTAAGATATTTAAAATATAATCTATATTAGTTGATATAACTTTTTACTATTAAAACCCGTCTTATCTGCGCCACGATAAGAAAACAAGAAAGGTTTATTGGCTTTTACGCACTTCTAATGTTGATTCACCCAAAGCTAGTATTTAATTAAGCCAACATCGAAACATGAATGGGAAAGATTCGGAGACGAAGACAGGAGCGAAAGTGGAGAAGTAGGGGGAGAACGGTAAGCTGATGATGAAGAATTTGAAGACACAATGTAGTTTGATGGATTTCGAATCATATAAGGCACCACCACATCTTCAAGCAATCCTTGAGGACCCATTGCTTCCAAACCAGATTCTTGCATCCCATCGTCAGTTGTGCTAGTGCTAGGCTGGGAACCAGGACTTGTGACATGTGTTTGTTGGATTTCGTGGGCTTGGAACTCGTCTTCTGAAATGGTCCTTTTAGGCTTCTTGGAAGGTGGATCAACACGTTGTGGCTGATTCAATAAGAAATATGGGTAAGCAAAGTGTAAATGGAGACCTTCGTAAGTGATGATGAGTGTGTCTGGATCCTCACTGGACCTCTCCACCTGCTTTTTTGCACTGCACCGCGGGTTCGTGCACCTATAATAGCTTCTGCTTCAGTCACAACAAATTTATGTTAGCAAGTTTTTGCTATTAGACAGCCATACCAAAGATAATTTTATAAATGCTAGAAGAAGGAAAGATATTTTACCTCATAATTTTAATTTAATGCCTTTAATATTTTTTTTAAATTCGTAATTTTATAAATACTAGAGGAAAAAAGGTAATTGATACTTTATTCAATAATTTTCATTTAAGTTCTTCAATATTTTTATAATTTCTAATTTTGAAAGAACCAAGCCTTTTCTTGTAATTTTAATTAATTTATTTATCATACATATTTTTTAAAATATTCACTTGCAATTTCCTTATGCTCCAACGCATAGATCATTGACAAGTGACAGCAAATTAATGTAATGGAATTGAACAAAAGGGCAAAAATTGTAACAGAACCAACAATGCAAGGGTAAAATCCATCCCAAAAAAAAAAAAAAAAATGTTCAAAGACAAAATTAAGAGAAAAATAAATAATAGAAGAGCAACCCATTGTATGTTATGATGCATTTTGTTGGGAAGTGTAAGTAATATTAAAAGAATTAATGTTTGGAGAATAACCGTTGTACTTTGAAAAAATAAATTTTTGATAGAGAAAATAGATCAACATTGATTAGTTGCTTGACTTTTAAAGGAGGGTATTTATTGTTTTTCAGTTCAAAGCAAAGGAATTTTATTTTAATAGCCAATTATATATGGTAAGATGACTTCTTCTTTATAATTGAGTGAGTGACTTGGGTTAGCATTTGGCAATCTGAGTGGACAATGAGACGTCTGGTTCAGATGGTAAGCTTTAGACACAAAGTTGAATGCTTATTAGGCCCACTGGCGGGTAATCGCCAATTTTGTCAGAAAATGTCATATCAACCTTCTATAGATGCCTTTTTTTTCTTTTCTTTTTATCATGCATATCTATTGTGTAGAAATAAATACACGATTGTGAGGAATTCTTAGAGTTTACTTTAACAGGTTAGGGTAGCGTTAATTTCTGGAGAAAAATGACTATGAATATATCGTTTTCAGCATGACAAAATTTTCTCCAAAAGAGAACAAAGAAAAATCCTCCAACCTCCAAAGCCATATGCATTAATAGTATTTTTAATGCTCAATTAAAGAAAGACGACTAAAAAGTTAAAGAAATTGATGCACATGCTTGCAATATGGACTCAAAACCCCCGGGCCGAAGTACAATTGATTCCTGAAAATTATTCGGTGCAACACGTTCTGAAGAATAGATTTGAAGATCTAATTGTATGTATGCTTCTATTAACTAAACTAGAATTCTATCCAATTGGGATTAATAGTGCTACTCGCATGACTGTATTAGTTAAAATGTGGATGGAAATCGAGTTTTAATTCTATGAATTAAATCCTCAAATTTGTGAATATTTGATTAGAGATTAATTGTACTTTGACCAATAATTGAAGTTAAAAAATTCTAAAGACAAAGGAAATTACATGTTTGGTATATAAATGTAGAAGTCGTATGTTATCAAGAGATGTCGCAATCAGTAAGCCTCATGTCAATATATATATATATATATATATACACAGTTGGCTTGTAGGTTATACTCTTGTCCTTGGCTGATTGAAGTGAAAAGAAAGCCCAGGTGGAGATAATTTCCCTTAATTTTGAAATTCATCTCTACAAATCAACATAATTTGAGTATAAAAAAAGCGGTAACTTTGGAAATTTACAATTGACCCCAGAAGTTTTTTCAAACTTCTGGGTTATTGTATTTATATTGTATTAAGTTGGTCACAGAAACAATAAAAAGTGATGTTGCAGAAAACTATTGCGGCTAGATATTCTCGAAGCTCTGCAGCGCTCGGTTTCAATTAACAAAATTTTATTAGGTACTTACATGTTAAATCAATCATGGCATCTTTATCTGATATTCCTTATAATCAGGGGTGAAAAATAAGCAAAGCTACGTATTAATTCATTATTTTTAAGTTATGTATAGAAAGGGAAAGGTAATTAAGGAGATGGTTGGTTACCTAGGATGCGGGCTATTCTTGATAGATTTTTGGCCATATTTCCTCCATTTATAACCATCATCAGACATCCCATTGCCACAGCTCTTCAGTTTTAGAGTGTACTTGTTGTTCTGATCTATCTTGCTCAAACCCCTTTGCAACAACGAAATTCTGTAAATTAAAAGATCAAAATATGTATAACAAACTAAGTTTAATTATTAACTACAAGACCTTAATTTAAACATATAATCTATCTAGAGGGGCTTTCAAAGTTCAAACCTGGCTTCAGAAACTGCTTGGGATTGGTCTTTTCGGCTTGTCATCGATAATGCATTCTCAAGATCTTGGATTGTAGGGCCTGAATAGACTCTGGAAATGAGCTGGTTAATAGTTTGTTCATTCGTAGAACTTGGTTTGGATTGGTTTTCTTCCTCTGGCAAGAAAAAGAAAGGAGATTCATCTTCTAGAAGCTCTCTTACAAGCTCATCTTCACTCTCATGAAACCAGGTACTACTTTTTATTACTTCTTCCATGTTGTTCTCTCTAACACGAACTCAATTAATTAGCATGTGCATTACAAGATTAATAATTTCTCTCTCTACCTCACAGAAATAGAAACCAAAAACTAATGAGGGATAAGAGAAGTGAGTAGGAGAAAGGTTTATGAGGAGGAGGAGGAGGAGAGAGTGGAGCAGACGAAGATGAATTTGTGACGTCTACGTGCCCTCTTGACTTTTAAAGCAAGATTTTACTTTGGTTTTGTTCGAGAGGAAAAAAAAAGAGCTTTATTATTATTATTATTATTATTACTATTTTGTATGTTTTGTATTTTGACTTTCGAAAAAATTCTATGATTGGTAATTAGGTATTTTTCGTACTAAAAAGATTGTTTAATTTTTTATTTATATCCCTTCTAATATGTTTTTCTTGTTAAAATTTTAAATAATTTATTTTATACAAAATTGTTTAAATATATTTTTTTAAAAATATAAATAAAAAATGTAAATATGATATAACTATTAATAATATTTTTAATTTATGCGAAAATTTTAATTTTTTATTTATATCTCTTCTAATATGCTTGTCTTTTCAAAATTTTAAATAATTTATTTTTAAAAAATAATTTTAATTTTTTATTTTATACGAGATTGTCAAAATATATTTTTTAAAACTATAAATAAAAAATGTAAATATGATATAACTATTAATAATATTTTTAATTTATGTAAAAAGTTTAATTTTTTATTTATATCTCTTCTAATATGTTTTTCTTGTCAAAATTTTAAGTAATTTATTTTTGAAAAATATTTTTAATTTTAATTTTATACAAGATTGTCTAAATATAATTTTTTAAAAAATATATAAATAAATATGTAAATATGATATAACTATTAATAATATTTTTAATTGACGTGAAAAATAAAAAATATCTTTTTTTTTTTTTGCATAAAAACGATATCATTTTTTTTATTAATCACTACCTCATTGCTTTTTCACAGGGCTTGAATTTTTGCATTGCACACTAAGGTAACTGACAGCATCTATCATCTACACTTGTAACAAGGCAAAAATTATGACTCTTTTGAGTATTGTTGTGGAAAGTTGGTTGATTGAACAGTGTTGTCCTTCCACCATGCGATGCCGATCGATCAAGCCCCCTAGCAGTACTTATCGCTTGCACTTTTGTTTTCTCCGAAATTTCATTTAGATCTTCTTTGTCTTGTTCTGTTGTTTTGATGGGATAGATGAATTAAGGGGGACCGAAGCCACCTGACCCACGACCCCAGTTCAACCAAAGCAAGAGTCAACCACTAAAGAATCGATAAGAATTATACATTTCTTAAAAAAATCACTTCAATTATCTAGGTTATTAATCATCCGGATCAAGTGTTGCCGTCTTGGTATCATTCTCTATTAAATTCTTTTATGGCAGTTGAGCATACATTGTTAGTTGGATGAGATTAGTAGATCATGCACGTTAATTATTTGTTAATTCATGTGCGCATGTTGTCTTTTAAAATTTTGTAGCGTGTACCCTTTATTGGTTTCAGTTTTATTATATTAGTTTAATGAAAAGTAAAATATTTTATTTGTTTCAAATAAATTATTTATCTGTTTATTCATATCTATTTTAAAATATTTGCTGATCAAAATTCAAAGTAGTGTGTTTTTTTTTAAATATTTTTAATTAAAGTTTATTTTGTAGAAAATTGTCTAGATACAATTCTTGAACAAAAATATTTTAGAAAAATATAAACAAAACATGTTGATATAATATAACAATTCTTAACTTTTTTTTTAATCTGTGTAAAATGTCAAAGATGATTTTTTTAAAGATAGATAGGGAAGCTTCTTTTTTTTTTTTTTTTTTAAAAAAAGTTTAAAGTTGAGAAATGGTTCAATAGAAATTACTACATGTATTTCCTTTTGGTGGGGCAAACAAAAACAATATTCACAACTTATGAGATTGTTGTCCAATTGTCAAAAAAAAAAAAAAAAATTGTTGATCAAATATTATTCCAAATAGTAAGTTCAAAAGGTGTTTCACAAGTTTTTTTTTTTGTGTATGTCCGAACTAAAAAGATTTTGTAACAAAAATAATAAAAAGAGGCTAGGACAGTGGTCTACTTTTATTATAGATTAACTACTACTTTACAAACTTAACAATAAGCAAAGTTTAAAAGGAAACTTAATTTTATTGATGAGAAATGGTACTTACAAAATGATATTATTCCTCTAGATATGATGTTTTGACATGAATTCAATTCTTAAGAATTACATTCACGAGTTATTGATGCAAGACGATACTTGAAAAACCAAACTATTTGTCAAATTTATCAACCTCCTTTTAATACCGCCTATAACATACTACCTATCAAGTTTCAAGTATATTGAAACTTGGGATAATGCTTTAAAAGTTTCTTGCTATTTGTAAGTGTTCTTGAATTTGATTGTTTGTTAATTCTTGTCCTTCTTTTTTTGTTGTCGGTTGTATTTACGAGCTTCTAACTCTTTCTTGATCTTTTGCGAGTGCTCCACATTCTTTTGTAATTGCTCACCTAGCCTTGCAATACTCTAAGTTCCTTTATAATTGTTGCGATCGTGTCTCATTTTCTTTTGTAATTGTTCACTCTCTTTCTTGATTGTTAGAAAAGTTATCATTCATGTTTATTTTCTTATAAATGTTTTGCTTAATCAAAGAGTTTATAGTTAATAAGTTTTTTGGTCCAAGCAAATCACCTAAACAAGTTAACTAACAAGTCTCTTATGTTAAATCAAATTACTAAGCTTGTAGGCTTGGTCGAAGTTTTGAATATAACATATGCTCTCTTCTTTTGATACATGAAAGTCCTTCTCCTTTTCATGGAAAGAAATAATTCTTCCACTTAATGATTAACTTTCAATTTCTAAGGTGTAATAGATATTTCTAATTTATATATTGTAACTATGTCTTTTCACCATTTTATAGACTTACTAGTTGCAAACCTATGTAAATGAACCAACTAAGAGATATCTTCTCTCTAAGCATCTTTTATCTCTACCATAAACTCTTATTATTCTTTAAAGTTCCGTTTATCTTTCTTCATCCTCCCCCTTTATATGTAAAAGATGCATTTTCTTCACCATTAAACCTAAAATCTTTCTTGAAATCTACTATTTTGGACCTTCATTTCATTGATCATATTAATATGTTTTAAGGCTTCCTAATGTTGAGCTCTTTCAAAACATTGTTAGTCCATTCAAGAATGCATTACGGTCTCTACAAGGTTCACTCACACGGTTAGAAGTTCAACTAACTCAATAGGATTCTAGCTTTACACCTCACTTTTTCTTTATAGAGATGATGAAGTTCCCTTGACTCTCTTTCTAATCCAAACCTTTATGTGAATAAGAAAAGATTGTTACCTTATGTGAAAATGCTAAACTCTTGTGACTTCGACAAGAATTTATAACTTTGCAAGTTTATAGAAGTCTTTGCAACTCTATAAGTTTAAATAAGTCCTTCGTAAATCTGCAAGCTCAAATAAGATTTTCTTTAATTGTGAGAACAAGAACTGGTTTCATTTTTATATCTTTTAATAAATTATCTAAATTATTTTTATAATATATACTATTTTTTTTATGGATGAATGGAACTCATACGCTCTTGATCCTTGGTCAATGGTTAGTTTTATGTTGAAAGCTAAGGCCCTATTTACATTGCAACCTCCTTATATACTTGTTTAGCCATTTTGTCTAGCATAACTTGTTCAAAGTTTGGCAATACTAGATTTAAACCAAGCTTTGACTATGCTTATCTTTAAGGTCATAATAAATACATGCAATATTTTATTCAAACAAGTACATGCCTCATTTTTTATGTTAACATTCAAGTTTTAGTTTTGTAAGTAGTAGATTTGCTTTAAATAAAACATAAATCTCTCTTACTTGCATTACAAAGAACATGATTAGCCTTGTTATTATGAGAAACAACTCTTCAAATGAGGTTACGACCTTAGTTTCAAAGACATGAGAGAACTCTTATTCGAGTTTGTAGAGTTATGGACTTTTGCTTGAAGTTACAAGAGTTCGGCCTTGTTATTATGAGAAATAACTCTTCATATGAGGTTACGACCTTAGTTTCAAGGACTTCTATTTTAGCATTCACCTTAAAGTTTCATTCTATAGGGAGACAATCCTAAGTAGTAGATTAAAAAAAAGGCTTTTAAATTAGATGAAGAAGAAGGTGTGTTTCTAAAAAAATAAAGAGATAAAGGGAACTTTAGAAAACAAAAAGAGTTTATAATGAGATTTATTTTCACACGTGAGGTAAACACTCACTCACACACACACATATATATAGGGCATATGTTATGCCTAATATTTAGATTTCCTAATAATTGGAGGAATCATATAACTATATGGGGTATACTTTCTAATTTTTAGGACGAAAGTAGGTAGTTACATAAGAAAAAAAGATAGAATCAAGTTAATAATAAAAATATAGAGTATTGTAGTATAATAATAGGAAGCCACAACATAACATGGAGTATTAGAAAAATCATAGAGTATTATAAAGATAATGAAGGAGCTAAAAGCACATCAATATCAATTATAAAAAAGAAAAAAGAGGCATAAAGTCAACAATCTACTCAATAATACTTATAGAAAGTAAGAAAATCCTCACGATATTATCCCATGTTTCAACACTTCTAAAACTTGTTAGGCAATAGATTATAGGTAGTAACTATTAGACGAGTAATTAAAACGCATAGATAGATTTATAGGCTGATAAATTTGCTCTCTAATGTTATGTTAACTCTATAACTTATGTTTATGATCCTTAAAAATTGAATTCCTATACGAATATCATATTTGAGGGAAAAATCTCAATTTGTAAGTATCTTTTTTTATTAATGAATGAAAATTCATTTTAAGATTTGAGCATTGTTTTAAGTTTTCAACAACTTTCTTCACCCATTTTATCTATAGGATTGCAACTTTGAATTCCTAACACAATAATTATTTAATTTCTTATTTTAAAATTTAAATGCATGCTCTTGATCGTAAATTAGTATAAGAAATTCAAATCATTGGTTTGAGGTCACCGTCATTATAAGTGATTACCTCTACAAACCCGCAATCAAGTCAACTCTGAATAGGCTTTTATCATTTATTATAAAATGTTCTTAATCAAAGTTGATACAAAAAAAATCTAAAAAAAAAAAAACTCAAAACAATTTCCAAAACAATTTAAAATTTTAAAAGGAATCCATTACCAAGTATATATGATTGGCATGGACATATATACTCTTATCGAATAAAAACTAAACCAAATTTAATCAACTAAAAAGCATTGACACATGACATAACTCCAATGTCTATGGTTACAACAATTTCCCCACGTCTTTAAATTTAGGACAAAACTTACAAGTTTTCTAAATGATTTTGTTAAGTTTTTTTTTTGGGAGGGGGTGGTGATATAGCTAGTGATATCGCTTATTCACACTATATTGTCACATTAATTAAAATGACATATGGATAATTATGAGTAGGAGAGCTTGTGTTTATGGGAATATATATATATATATATATGTGTGTGTGTGTGTGTGTGTGTGTGTGTGTGTTTGAAGACATAATTTTTTAACAAATAATGGTGATTGTACATCATGTATGTGCGTTAATGCGATAAAATATAATTTGATAGTAATATATAAAAAAAATTTAAAGTATTGATTATTATCTATAAAACGTAAAGATAAAAAATTTCAAAATATACTTCAAGCTTCTAATATTTTTATAATTTATAATTTTCAAATTGATAAACAGTTTAATAAAATGATAAAAAAGATGTACATCAATTCTCCTTTCTTAAAAATTAAGATAATATTTTCATATATAGATAATATTTGGTTTTTTTTTTTATCTATTTCTTTTAATGCTTATCAATTATGTATGTGCCAATGATGCCTAATTAAGAGTAAAAGATGAAAAGTGCTTTTAATGAGTTGAATCTTTTATTGATATGATAGTGTATATATACACTATGAGAATAGTAACTATGGAAATAGTCTACCCATACAATAACTATAATATAGGAGATAATTATGTTAAATCCTTTGAGTTATGTTTGTATGATTGATATATTATGATTTGTTTATGTTAATGGTAACATGATTGATATCTTTTGATTTGTTTCTATTATGCCCTTGCAAGATAGAGCAACCATCAAAGATGCCTATCTTGGAGAAATGACTTTGAAATTCCCGACATGAACATGCCTTGGTTAAAGAGTCGACTAGTTAGTTGTTTGTAATAACCTAAAAAAATGGGCTAATATAAATAGGGGCGATAATTGCCCCCTTTTAGTATTTTCTCTCTTCTCCTCCTCTCCCTCTTCCTACATTTCTCTCCCATTTTCTCTCAACTTCCTTTTTAATTCCTAAGCTAATTCATTGTTAAATTAGCTTAGAAAAACCATAAATTAGTTGATTAAGTAGAGCTAGTTAGCTTAGAGCTAGGAAAGCTTGGTTGGGATTCGAAGAGAAAAGTTTGAAGGTAAGATTTATGATTAATTAATCTTTGAATTGAGATGTTTATATATGGATGATGATGATACTAAAATGCAATTGGCTTGGTTTTGTTAAATGCTTGAGAAATTGATTAGAATAAGGTTAGGGCTTTAAAATCCATTTAGGAAAAAGATGATTCTAAGTGATTATAATAACTTGAATGATGTTTAATTATCTTGGGTAAGTGAATTAAGAAGTCAATTTAAAGTGGAATTAAGTTAATTTGAGAAACTGAGATGTTGAAGATGATGAATAGTAAAAAATCCGAATTTAAGTTTTAATTGAAAATTTGGGAAAATAAAAGGTTAGGTTATAAATGTATAATTAGAGGTAAATGAAATGATTATTGGATGAATTAGGATAAAATGGATTATCTAATTACGGATTGATTGATTAAATATTTAAATTAAAAATTCATGATTTAATTAAGAATTAATGGTGATGGGATTTAGTTAAGTAATGGATTAAAATTATTGGAGAGATTGTAGAGCCTAGTTAAGGTTATCAGTTTGAGTCTTTCCAATCAATTTCGCCTTTATTTGATAATCTTATATGCTTATTTTTAGAATAATTCATTATTTTGAATTATTTCTTGAGATGTGATGTTGATGGTTAGTTTACCACCATTTGTTGTTAGATTCTTCGGAGCGGGTCACTCCATCATAACCTTGAGCCGTTCAAATTCGTTCGATCCGTCATTTGTACTCGTGAGTGGATATCATATAGTATACTATATTTTAAATTCTTTTAAATTATTTCTATCATGCATCATTGATTTAAGTATGATTTAGAAGCATTCCATTATAACTTAGGTGGGAACGGACTCCTCGAATATTTGAAATATTTTTGTATCGAAATAATTTAATATGAATAAAAAAGAGATTTGATATATGTTTACGAATTTTTTATTTTGATTATCCATATATTTTCTATAAATGCTTATTTGATATGAGATTATACTATAATTTGGATTTGGAGCATGCATTATGTTTGATTGACTAGTTTGAAATATGTATAAGTATAAATGGTTTTCGAAAATGTTTTTGAGATCCGATAGAACCTAGCTACGGGAGGCATAGCCTTTGTGCTCAATGATATGAGGCTCCAACTAACAGGAGAAGTAGAGTGAAACTAGTAATGAAGGGGTGTAACCTTTGGATGTTCGCACCTAATGATACATTATTAGGTGCATAAAAACCTATATATGAGATTTCATTTGAATACGATATGTATGTATAAGCGCTTTGACGATTTAATACAAAATGGTTTTGGAACCATTTAAATTATGATGTAAGATGTGTTTTACGATATGTATGTATTTCGAAGAAATAAGCATTACATTTTGAGATGAACTTGAAAGTATCGTCCTAAGTTCATTTCCCTCCCTTAGTATGTTATATAATGTCTACTCATTGAGCTATTGATTACTCACTCCTCATTATTTTAGGTTTATAGGATATTAAAGAATGGCCCTTTTGGTTCCATTTTGGTCGCTTTTTGAAGTCGACACTTTGATCATGCGACTTACTTTAATTATAATTTCCTAGAACCTATGTTTGTTTTAAATTATAATTTTAGAAGCTCCGTGGTTATAGTTATGGGTATTGTATTAGAATTTGATCTTGGATATTTAAATACAAGAATAACATCGAATTATAAATTATGTGGAAGTTATAGAATATAAATTGTTAAGTTGTAATATGGTGAAATGCAATGGTGCATGATATCATAATAACATTTCAGAATTTTAATTTAGTATTCAAGGCTTACTTGGGTCGAGGTAGCCCTCGTAGTTCTATCGATTCTCACACTCGGTCATGGCTCACTTTTGGGGGTCGTGACATCGTTGGTGTGAATATGAGAGACATGCAATCATTTACTAGTAACATTATCACATATAAAGAATAAATCTATCTTAACATGTTTCATGCAACTGTGGAAGAGTGGATTGACATATATATAAGTACCATTGATATTGTCATGGTAGATGATTAGAGTATTAGGAATAATAACCCATAACTCTTATAGAAGTTATTGAATCTAGAGGAGTTTTGCGGATGAAGTAATAATCCCCTATATTTAGTTTTCATGGATGATTAAGTGATCGTGCTTTATTTCTTTAAACACCAACTGATAGGATTATCTTTTGGAAAGACTATATAGTTAGTGGTAGAACATCTATCATCTAGGTCACTCGCTTAGTCGAATTTGCAAAGGCGTGAAGGTGAAAATTGGACTATTGATGTATGAGGAGACCATATTTTAGGATACCCTTAAGATAACGAAGAACTCTTTTGACAACTTATTAGTGAAGTTTAGTTGTACGGCACATGAACTAAGATAACTTATTTATTATAAATAAGACATTTAGTCCGCACCGTTGAAGGGAGCCAAGGCCTTATCGATTTTGAATAGCATCTATGGAGGGACTCGCCATCATTGAGTTTGAGAATTTTTTATGATGAGAGGGGTGTAGAGACCGAGTTAGTAGTGTGCATGTTTGTTTTTTTTTTAGTAAATCACATATGTTTTTTTATTGAGAGAGGAAAAGATCGTATTTAGTTTAACAAACTTCTATGCCAAAAAAGTATGACAGGGTATCGAGGTCTTTAATGGATAAGTGGTGAGCTAGAATAGAGATAAAATTATGAACCTTTGATGCAGAGAAGCCAATAACGATAATCTCATCAACATATACAAGCACATATGGGGCATGACTAGAAGTATATTGAAGGAACGAGTGAAATATCACTTCGAAATTGGTGAACGTGGTTAAAGAAGAAAGTTATGAAGTTCATGATACCATACCCATGGAGCTTGATGGAGCACATAGATGGCATTCCTTAATTTACACATATGGTTGAGTAATTGAATATTGATGAAACCTGGTAGTTGCTCCATATGGACATCGTCATTAAGAGTGCCATATAAGAAAAAATTATGAAAGTCGTCGTAAAGGCCAATTGTTAATGATTGCAAGAGTTAAGATGTGGCATATAGTGATCGGTTTTACTACAAGAAGCTTTGTATTTGGTAACGAGTGCCGTTGATGTTATGTTTAATATAAAATATCCACTTGCGACTCTATAATGTTTTGAGTAGGATAAGAGAGAACTAAAGTTCGAGTAGCATTATATAGTAGAGCATCATATTCAGCACTCATGGCATGATGCCATTCATATGACTTTTAGGCTTGTAGAATGGTTGTTGGTTCGATGTCGGGGGAGATTTAATGTTGGTGTGGACATAAAAAATAGGCTTAGGTTTGTGAATGTTATTTTTGGAATGAGTTTTTATAATTCAAGGTAGAAAGAAAAAAAAAGGGTCATATCATTTACCTATGGATAGAACTATATGAGAACATCACCATGGCTATATGAGAAAGCGAAGCATCTCTATGTTCGAGTGGGGAGGATGGTGTATGAGAGTGTCTCGGATAGGTATAATTCAAGGTGTCGGTGGTGGGACAAGTAAAGGTATGTGCTTGAGGGATGAGTACGGATAGGTATGTTTTGGGCGAGTGAGGTAGGTGTCTTAAAGACTAATAGTCTTAGCCACATTCATAGGTGCCGAAGACACGAGTAGAGGCATGAGCCATTTAGTGACGAGTAGGGTAGAAGTCCGGCAATGGGTGAGATTTGTATGATGTAAAGAGAAAGATACATTCTATAAACACCACATGATAGGATACATAGATACACTTAGTTTGGGGTTCAAGGCATAAATATACATTATGTTTGGTAAAATATCTAGCACATACACACGATTTAGATTATGGTTGGAATTTATAAATAGTGTAAGATCTTAACCATGAGTAGCATAAACACCCTAAGATGTATAATTTTTGGTAATTAGGTAAACATTGAAAAAGGTTAAGGTTGGGACTTTGGTGATTTAAAGTTTTAATAGGCATTCTATTAATTAAGTTTATTGTTATTTGGAAGGCAAGAGACCGTAATAGAAGAGGTATTAAAGCATAATGGAGAAGTTTTAAGGTAATTTCAACGATATGATGATGTTTTCATTCAGCAGAGCCAACATGTTCGGGTGTATAAGAAAGTGATTTTAAGTGTTGGTTGTCATGGGAGGTTAAAATATGGCTAATAGAATATGATTCCTCACTACCGTTAGTGTAAACTCGTTTTAATCTTGGAATGAAAGAAATTCTCAACAAGTAGTTTAAACTTGGTAAAGGTATGAGGGACGCCAAATTTATGTTTAAAGAAATATATCTAAATGTATTTTGTGAAGTAGTCCATAAATATAATATAATACCCGTAATTGTTGAAAGATGGTAGGTGAGTAGGATCCTAAACATCGGTAAATAAAACTTTCAATGGTTTATTGCATGTGAGAGTGGATACACCAAAAGATACTTTATTGCTCTTATTACTTAAACAAACATTACTATGAGAGGGATAAGTTTTTAGTGAGAGACAGGTAGTTTGTTGGAGGATATGGTTTTGTATAAGACTCGGTGGTGAAGGATGCCAAGTCGATTATACTAAGTTATGAAAGAAACTAATATAGTCGATGATGTAGTGGCTAACTAGGTCATAGAAGTTGTGTTGCTAGACTTTTTATAAGTTAACCCAACATAAAGATTCCCTTGATTTCGATTATAAACCAATGATGCCTTTGTGTTCAAATCCTTCACATGAAAACAATCGGGAAAAAATTTAATGGAGGTATTATTATGAGAGAAAAATTGAGATAATGAAACTAGATTTTTGGAGATATGAAAATCATATAACACATTGTTAAGTTTAAAGTTATTGGAGGATGTAGAGAGAGATGTTGAACCAATATGAGATATAGGTATAGTTTTATCATCCCCAACCATGATTTATTTAGCACCATCATAGTCGAGTGAAGGGAGAGATTATGAAGGTTAGATGTTATGTGTTGAAAGACACTAAAATCAAGGATCTAATTGTTATGAATGATAAAAAATTGTATGGACATTTGATGTACTTAAGACCACTATTGGTGTCATTGAAGAGATGGGAAAGAGCAACATGTAAGAGTAGTATGGATAACTTTATTATATAATTGACATACTAGATTTGTTGAACCATTGAAGGGATTTAAACACTATTGAGGTTGATTGGAATTATAGTAATTGTTAGGTCTTAATGACCTACCATGATTGGAGCCATTATGGTATCGTGGAGTGAACTTATTATAGGAGCCGAATGAAAAGAGTTTTTGGTAGTGGAGGAGTAATGAGTTGGGTATCCATGACCTTTATCGAAGAAGTTTTTTGTTGTATTGGGCGGTGATTAAAAAGCCTCTCTTTTTCCCTTCATCATGTTGTATGGTAGCCTCATGATTGAGGAGTTTATCTTATAGTTATTTAAATGAGATGGGTGTGTCTCGTGCTCTAATGACAAAGGTAAGGGAAGAGTAGGATGAGCTAAAATCATTGAGAATGTCGATCATAGTGGCTTCATCATCCATTGTATGGCTAATTAGTTCATGATCATTTATGATGCATTTGATCTCCATATATATTCGGAAATAGACTTGCCTTTTATGCCGACATGAGTGAAGGAGTCTAGAAGACTAAGTCGACGGAGTTGTAGAATAGTTTACACATGTGGCTTAGATTTTTCCCATGCTTGGTTTGAGGTTTGTGAGTGAGAGATACTCGGATTGTGCAAGCACTCATGCATGATACGTAAATGGCATAGAGTGGTAGTCCGTCTTGTCATAGTTAGGACAAATGGTTTGGATTAGGTATCATATGTTTTATCGTCAAGCAACGTCAATGATGAGGGTTACGAATTTGGGAAAAAATAGAAAAAATGAATAAAAAGAACTCGAAGTCGTCATCTAGTATTATGGTTACTAGAAAACCCTATGATTGGTCTTTTTAGAGTTATGGGTAAGAGGTTTATTCCGTTTAGGGAAGATTGAAATTGCCCTACCCTATCTTACTTAAGGCAAGTCGCATTGCACACAAAACTCGATTTGATTTTTGATTTTTTAAATGATAAAATTCTATACCTATTTTACAAATATTTGTCCATTAATCGAGTGATTTGAGACTTGGTCGGTCAAAGACCTTGTCATTACTTTGTAATGAATAGCTAAAAAAAAAAAAAAACATGATGAATGCAAGGATAGGTTGCTAATGTGACTTAAATGATGTGTGTGAAAATAAAACTTAAAAATAAGCAAATAGGCCAACGAAAAAGTAGGCAAATACATAAAGTAGACAAAATTGACAAATCAACAAAATTGATAAATAAACAATTAGCAAAATAGGCAAAATTGATCGAGTACACGGATAGGCAATTAGAAAAAATTGATAAATAGACAAATAGACAATTAGGCAAAATAGGCAAAATTGATAAATAAGCAAATAGGTAAAATAGACAAAATTGATCACTCAAAAAAATCGACAAATAGGCAAATTAGCAAAATCGACAAATGGGTTAATAGGCAATTAGACAAAATAGGTAAATCGACAAATCGATAAAATTGACAAATAAAAAAATAGACAATTAGAAAAAATAAGCAAAATCGACACATTGACAAATAGGCAAAAAAAGACAAATTGAAAAAACTAGTAAATGCTATAAAAAATAGTAAAAATGACAAAATTTGGCAAAATTAGCAAAAATGACAAAATTGATAAAAAAATCATTGAAGTTGATGAAAATGATCCGAAAAGATTAAGACCGACAAGATTGCAAAAGTTATGATTTTCGAGTGAAATCGACAAAATCGTTGAAATTGATAAAAACAAACCAAAAACAAGGTTCGAATATACGGAACCTCAAATATCATGATTTTTAGGTAAAATAGACACATTAGCAAATTAATTCTCACAATATGCGACAATGATCCGGTTGGATCCATATGGACCGTAAATCACATTTTTCTTAGGACAAATTAACACAATATCAAATAACTATTACAATGGTCGAAATGACCTTAAAGTGAAATTCGAACCGATGTCACTCAAGAATCTTATTTTTTAACGAATTGACAACAATGTGAAAATTAATCGATAATTGACAAAAATGACCCAAACAATAAGGTTCAAACCGGTATGATCCGAAATGATATTTTTTAGATGGAATTAGAACATGAGCAATTTAAAATTACCGTCAATAAAAATTATTCCAAAAACATGGTTTGAACCAACGCGAAGCAAAAAGCACTTTTTTTTCTTTTTGGACAAATTGGCATAACTCAATTAATTGTTACGATTGGCCAAAAGTGGTCCAAAAATGAGATTCGCACAAATAACAACAAACAATAGTTCAATCAAATCATAAATAAGTAGTAATTTAATTAATTTACACACATAATTTTAATTTAATTAATTTACAAAACTAGCGACAAATTAATTAATATACGGACACAAAAATATGTATTAAATGTAATATATATTAAAATAAAATAAAAAGGTAAAAAATAAATTATTATAATAAAAGCTAAAATGAATTTGATCGTCAAATCGGGGTTAGTTTCGACCTTTTCATCTCCGATGGAGATTGATATTCAATCAATTAGGAAGGAGTGATAGTGAGTAGTTGTCGGATCCGGATCGTATGACTACTAGATAGATCGGACCAATCGAGCGACTATTGATCGATTTGAATTGAGGCTGCTGGAAGCGGACACGGTCGTTATGGTCGTTGGATTGAACGGACTACTTCTTTGGTTGAAGGAAATCGAGCTAAGTAAGCTGGATCCACGCGAAAGAAGTTTGAGGAGGTTAGTGGAGATCCAAGGCTATTAGATCGGCATCGAGTGGTGTTGGAAGTCGTCGTCCAACAATGTTGGTTTGGTGAAGGAATGGTTATCACCTATTGGTTCGATGTTGAATCTGGATCGGATGGAGGAGGATGGGTCGAGCAAGTGGATCGGGTGAGAAGGACGGTTGGGTAACTAGATCTAGTGGAGGAAATCGAGTTGTTGTGGTCGATGATGGTGGTGTGGTCGCTAGAAGGAAGATCGAACGACCGAAGAGAGGGTTGGACTATTGAATCAAGTCTGGATCGATTTAAGGTTTGGTTTGAAGGTCGCTAGTTCAGTGCTAGACTAGCTAGAGTGCTTGAATGGACCTCTTTAAGGAGGGAAAGCTGGTCGAAATTTTTTTGGAAAGGGAAAGCTATTCGAAATCTATTTTTTTTTGGAGGAAGAGTGGTCGGAATCTCCTTTTAGAGAAAGAAAAGGTTGTATTTATATTGGTTTTTTAGGGTTCTTAGGAAAAAGTTTAGTTTAATCCCTATGCTTGCAAGCTTATTTTATTTTGATCTTTTTCTCTCTTGTTTTCAATTACACTCCTCGATTGTATTTTTCAATCCCTTTTCTTTTTTTGAAAAAAAATTGGGTGCTAACATGTTTACTTATGGTGTCTTCTATATGTGATATGAGACATAGATGGGTTACATTTAGAAATCCTATGAGTCCATAGCAAAAAATGAGGTTTCAAGTTGTGATTTTCGAGCAAGTGCGGTTTCCATTTTTGTTGAGCTTGATGGAGATTTAGGTTGAATTAATTTCCATGATGGAAATGATGAAGCTAGATGTTTGTGTTCCTCACACAATGACTGATGGAAAGAAGGGATTAGATGAGGTGACGTCATTGTCGATACAACTAGATTGGCCATGATTCGGAGCTAAGAGTTTTGTAGGAGAAGGAAATAAGGTTTATAGTAGGGAGTCTTATAATAGATGAATATGTCCGTAACTTGGACTTTTATGGGAGAAAGAAAAGTTGGTGGCTAGGAATATGTGGAATAGATGAATAAGTCAAAAACTATAACTTTTGTGGAAGAAAGGGAGTTGGTAGTTAGGAATTTATAGGAAAACAAAGGTTAGGTTGTTGCTATAGGATGGGGTTCACAATTGTAGAGGAAAAGAAGTTTGTTTCTAGGAGAGGAGTTTGTAGATAGGAGTTGTGTAGAGGAGAAGGGGATTTGTAGCTAGAGTTTGGAATTGGATCGCAAGCTTTTCACATCTTAGGCTCTAATACCATAACGGATGAAGAATGCTCTTAATGAGTTGAATCTTTTATTGATATGACAATGTATATAAACACTATGGGAATAAAAAAATATGAAAATAGTCTAGCTATACAATCACAATAATGCAAGAGTTAAGCTGCGTTAAATTCCTTAGGTTATGTTTGTATGATTGATAACTTGTGATTTGTTTTTATTAATGGTTACATGATTGATATCTTTTTATTTATTTCTATTAAAAAGGACAACATTTAATTGTTTTATCTATTTCTTCTAAAGTTTATCGACTATGTATGTGATAATGATGCCTAATTAACAGGACAATATTTGATTGTTTTATCTATTTCTTCTGATGCTTATCGGCTATGTATGTGTCGATGCATCATTAACTCAATTTGATAACATAATTTTGTTTTTTGTTTCTCTTTTACTAAATTTGATCAAATATAATAGGACCCGCATTCTGACATTGAATTCTTATATATATAGTCTCAATAATGGAAATACAAACACCAATGAATCCATGGCCATATACTAGTTAGTATATGGTATAGTTTTATCTTCGAGTGGTTGCTTCAAAGTGAGGGAAGTTATGTCTCTATTTGGATTTGACTTTTTTGAGTTCTAGAAATGCCACGCATAAGGACAATCTGCGGTTGACTGTCAGAGTGGGCTTAGGTTTTGCTTGGTTGCAAAAGAGGGTAAAGTGGGCACAGGTTAACTGGTTTTGAACCAAATACTCCTACTAAATAAATAATATATTCCTCAAAAGTCAACCCTTTATCAGGCGGGACCAATTGGTCCGTGATACACTGACACGTTTGACTATTTGGGTCCTTCTCGTTTCTGATCCTCACGTGTGGAGATGAATGGAGCGGTTCGACCTGTCCCGTTCTTGCTCAAACCCCTCCGTCTCTTACTTAGTTTCAAGTCCTAGACTAGAGGAGGACTCCTAGATGGCTAGATCCAAGTCGCTGACGGTGTACCTAACCAAAGTTACCGACCCCAATTAGGCAAGAAAAAACACCAAGGATGAGTGGGCTTGAGATTTTGTTAGGTACCCTGGATTTTTTTTTCTATGATAAATCTTTATCCCAGGCTTCGACCCACTATTGATTGGGTTGGAAAAGTAATAAAAATATCTAACCGGATTAAGTATCAGGTAAATCCCTCAGTCCATCAAGAACTAGCATGTTTTGGCATGACCATGCTTCAGAAGCTGAGGATTAACTGTGGAGGCTGAAGATCTCATTGATAATTAACCTAGAGAGGGTGATGGGATGGGTTTAAAATCAATTATATTTCTTTTTTCATCTTTATTCCATAAAATCAGATTCAGGATGGGAAAAATACTTTTTTTTCCCGTAAGATTGGGACGGATTCAAAAATTTTCCAATAATAAAAAATAATAGTGTCTTATAATTACAATATATAATTTTTTATTGTTAACATACAATAAAAAATAAATATTAAGTTCATAAAAATTGAATTTTACTAAAACTCTGTTACATATTCAAATATAAATAATAAAAAAAATAAAATTCTTTTAAAAATCACTTGATATGATTCAAGAAAGACCAATATATATGATTAAGTTCGACTATTCTACAGGATAAACTACACGCTCCCCATCCCCGTTACTATTTTTTTAATCGAAGGAAAATGTCTTTCATATCCACCCTCAACGGGTCAGATTTTATGAAGTATCCATCATTTTGCCTTCACTGTAATCCTCTCCCTAGCTAACTTTGGTTGGCTCATAGACTCAATTTAGTCTTCTTCTTTTTTTTCAATTTATTTTAATTTTTTATTTAAAAAAAAAATTGATCAGAAAATAAGACATTATATATGATAAAAATAATATTAAATTAAGTATAACCAATATGGATTAAATGATTAAATAATAATGTTTGAAACAAGAAATGCTAATTTATTCATCTTTTGAAACTAAAGGGACTATTTTATAATTTGCTCGCAATTAGCATAACGTTTCTCGCTCATCTCTAGGCTTAAGGCATGCAGCCCATTGAATTGACTCTTCAGAAAACAGCCAAGTCAAGACTTACCCTAACTAACTTCCCATTGTTGGGTTTCAGGCCTTCACCCCTTTGACTTCTCAACCAGAGATCATCGAGTACTCTTACCGTATTGCTTTTACTTTATAAAGACATACAAATAAGAATACGAGAATAACTCAATGTGAAATTTTTTTCTTAATAACAGGGATACTTTTTGGCCAATCTTCATAAATTAAAATTAAATTTATTTCTAATCAGATTATAAATATATCATTCGAATTCTAAATCAGTGTATTATCAATAAAATAAATATTTTTTTAATGATTTATGTTATTATATTATGTTTGTAAGAAGTTTAATTCAAAATAAAATAATTGTGCTTAAAAGATATTAGTATAAAATATAATCTTTGTAATCAATGAAATGCAAAAGTACATCAAATTACAAAAGAATAAGCATCATGATCTTTATGCAATTTGCAATTATAAATACTTTTTAGATATGAAAGTTAAATTGTCTAAACTAATTACAAGAAGATCAATGGTACTGTTTTTTCTTTTAAAAATATTAATTATTACTGTTATATCCGTTTTAACTTAGTATTTAATAATAGAAGGAGGTAACTTTTAACTGTAAAATCATAATATCAAGATTTTTAACAAATTACAAAAAATAAAAAATAAAAAATATAAGTGATGATATTTATTTATTTTTGGAAAATATCCTAATTTAAGAGCATCATGACTTTTACTGATCATATCCTATGCATTAAATAAAATGTATATCATTTAAATGAAAATAAAATTATATATAATGAATTTCGATATGATCCCATTTGTATAGAAGTGGGTTATTGCAGAGTATGCTAATATTGGGCCAATTACACATGGTGGTGCTGATAAAAAAATATTATTTCATCGAACTTGAGCATATACTGATTGCTGGAAGGTTTGTTTGTTTTTTTGTTTTTTTTTAACAATAGAAAAAGCCAAAAAGAACTTTCATCTCCTTGTTAGGAGTTGTTTCCTATCCTCATAGTTATTTATTTATTTATTTTTTATTCAAGTCTATCATCTCGTCTATTGACTTTTCTTTCTTTATTTCTGTTTTTCTTTAATTTAATTTCTTCTTCTTTCGCTGTTATCATCAATTTTTATTTATTTATTTATTTATCGTATTATACACCTGTCCTTTGGGTAACTTCTTAGAAATTGTTAAGGCTACATAGTTTGTGACTAATGCTATGTTTTTTTTTATTGCATTATTTTTATTTGTTCAGTAATAATAAATTTATATCAAGATAGTGTGTCATCTAAAATATGAATTTGGTGGTGATTGAATTATATATATTAGATATATTTATTGTATTGCTTATCTAAAATTCACATCAAAGCCTGTTTCAATTATGGTAATTAAGGACTCAAAGAAATGTGACAAAAGATTTTTCTATAGAGAAATCAGTTATTTTCAAACAATGAATCCGTAAAATTCTTGTTTGATATGCTACATGTATATCGTAGGCTACAACTTTTGGAAATTGCTTTTCATATGGTAACTATTATTGAGCTATGTTGGATATATGATGTCAACTTGAAATTTATTCAAATGAGCACATATACGGCACTCATCTATAAGGTGGTTAAGAGTGAGTCTCCTATTGTGATACAGTTATTTATTTATTTATTTTTCCATTCACAATACATTTCTTAACGAGTCAAGTTATTGGAGGTTACAATCTGATTTTTTTTTTAATACATCATTATTTTAAATTTTGTTTTCTCCTCCTCCTTAGTTACAAGCTATTTTTTGGAGGATAGTTATGCTTTTTATACATTCATTGAAATGATGTATTAATTTTTTATAAATAAAATATTTTTATCAATTTTGAAAGAAAAAAAATTTG